TCCATTCTCTTTTCTTTTATATCGATCTTAGACACTGCAATTTCTTCCATAAATATTACTAGCTTTTGTAATAGTACGTTATATCATATCTTCCTGATCATCACCAATAACTAATTAATGTAACTAACTCATCATCCATTTTTTTTCTAACAATTTATTAGCATCACTATAGCATAAATATTACAATTTATTAGCTTTTAAAAACTCAAAATTTTGAGATAATTATGATCCATCTTAATAAGATTATCAAAGTATAAAGTTTTATGGCAATAATTAATATGCAATGTAGAGGTAAGGGTTGCTTACTTGAAGGCCTCTTCTGATCAAACACAGCATTTGCAGAACATGACGCACTAACGATGCCCCTTTCTTAATGAATCCATGATGCTAATTGTTAAACATTGTGAGGTGGATGATATTGCTATCTGATGTAGTCTTCATCTAACTTATTTTCCCACTTGTTCCCATATCTCCTTACATAGTGAGCTTATTTATATATCCAGCTAGTTTTTAAGTCCAACAGTTGCTACTGTTCCAAGCAACCATAATAGTTTGGCCGAAGTTGCTGTTATGCTGACACTAAAGAGACTAGTCATCTCAGTGGTTTTCACGTATATATTTTTCTAATAGGAGAATTTGGGCTCTCTCTCTCTTTCACCACATGTATAGGTCCCATGACTCATGGTGCCCTGGGACCTAAAGCAACAGTCATAGTAATGGCATCCAATACTTGAAAATACAGCTAAAATGAAAAAGAGAATATAAACGAGATGCTTATTTGAAATGGCTGGGATTGATAGGATCCTTTGAGGCAGCAGCTTCATGGAATTTTCAAAGGAACAAGGAATTAATATTTTCAATCCGGTGACTAATTAACTTACAATTTATTAGCAGATAATTAACTGCACATCACTGAAGATCGATTTAGGGTAGCTTGGACTCTTTCTTACTATTTTTTAAAGTTGTTTTTTAATTAAAAAAAATTATATTAAAAAGTTACTTTAAGAAACAGTAAGAGAGCCGTCACGAACGAAGGCTTAATCATTATAAGAGATCAAGGATATACTCCTTTCCATGCTATTTGTTGAGACTTCATTAGTAATTTCACATTAATGGCGGATTCGAGTTCGACAGCAACACCAGAAAACGGTTGAGGGAGTTATCGAGAAGGCAGCACAAATTTAATTCATTTTTGTTGAATGATCCATTGAGTTGTGATCCATAAAAACTAATTTTATCCACAAATTTAATTGTTTTTGTTTTATGCTCTCTGTCATGCATATCTAATTTTCAACTTTTTTATTTCAAATTTTATTGCACATCTATATTAATATTTTCATTCTTCACTCTTAAATTTACTATATTTGGCATCCTCATAAAAGAAAACAAGAAATATAAGAACTTGAGGAATAACAAGAATAAAAAGATTTTTTTTTTGTTAGCTGCATGAAGTATCACTAAAGATGATAATGAAGAAGCTTAATAGCTATACTTGGTTGATGTCCGTTGCTAATTAAATAGAAGTCATAGCAGTTTGGAGCTGGGCCTTGAGGAATCAGAGAAAGGAAGGGTCATAATAATTAGAGTTTGTAAGAAAGAAGGAGATTCCAATGGAGAGGAATGGATTTCTTTTATCTTTGTACCATTGTGAAAGTGAAGGAATAAAGAGAAAAAGGAAAAGGAGTTTCAGAGACCAGTCTTTTTAAGCAGGCAAATTGAACGCAAAAACTCTGCAGCTCTACTTGAAAAAGCTGGCAATGGATATCCATAACATTCTCTCTCACTTTAGATAATCCTTAGGTTTCCCTCTTCTCTATGTAGCTTAGTTCTTCTGAATATTCTCCTAAATGCACTTTGCTTCTCTTTACAAAGGGCTGAGATGTGCATCAAGGGCTCCCTAAAAGCTCAACTGACCATGTGAAAAATTCCCACCAACTAAGTTTTTTTTTTTTTTTTAAATGTTGAGCATCAAAGCAAGGGCAGAACTAGCCTTAATTTTAGGGGAGGTATAAGTATCTGTCGGGGGTCTAAGGGGGCGCGGGTTCAAGCTGGGCAAATTTGGTCGTAAGGACACCTTTTTAATTCAAATTAATAAATAAAATGATGAATTCTCTTTACTATTTGCTGGGAGTAATTGCCTAAAGATTATAGTATTTTAAAAGTTTTAAGGGAGACGATTGAATGGAAACTCTTGTAATAAAGACGAAAAAATAGATTGTGGGAAATAAATTACCTAAATAACTATATAATAAAGATTTTTAGGTGGTGCAATTCCCCCCTCACGTTAAGGGTGTTCTGCCCCTGCACCGAAGCATAATGTTTTCTATAAGTTAAGATCAAATTGGCACTCATAAAAGTAGAGATTTCTAACATATCGCTCTTCTAGATCTGTTGGTTAAAAACTTTGACCACTAGTCAAAAGTTCTAGAATTTAAAATTTACTTTGATATACATGTATATTTTAATAGGCTCAATAGTTAAAAAAGAATACAATAGATCAACTCATTAATTTATTCGACATGTTGGTTTGTACTTTTAGATTTTGGCAGAATTAATTTGCAGCTCCCAAGAAGATGATTGTAGATCATAGAAGGCACGGAAACTAAGAAAAGATGGAAAGCAGAAAATAACGCAAATGTTCTTCAATTGGCAAAATTAAAGTGCTTTTGCCAAGCTGCCATAGTGCCATCTCTTTCTCTCCTCATGCGTTGACGTTTAAAAGCTCTGCATTTTACTTCTTTTTATCAGTTTTCTGATATTTAAACTTTTATATATGTTCTCAAATTCTTTTGTGAATTATATTTAATTTGATTCATACAGAATAGATTGACTGGCTGAATGTAATCTTATAGAAGTGTTGCGTCCTGGAGTATTCGCGACGGTAGAGAAATATTTAGTTTAACGTCTTAGCATTGTACGAAGATCCAGCACACAAACAGATAAGTGAGAGGGTGTAGCATTCATAAGAGACACCAAAGTTTTTAAGTGGAAAACCCCTAAAAGGGGGAATTTTATATAATTAACATTATTTATATCATTATAATCTCAACTAGTTGATCTGAAATAAAAATACTTTTTAATAACTGTAAATGAGTAGTAGTTATATCCTTCTATATATGTGAATAAAAAAATATATATTTTTTCGCTTCTTCTCAAATTGATTTTATCATAATAATAATAATATGATCTTAAATTTCTTGATGAGATGAATAATTTATTAATTTTATGGTGTATATGTACTTATGATAAAAAAGAAATTTTATAATAAGTTTAAGAAAATATCTAAGAAAAGTGACTATCAAAATTATAATTTTATTGAAGATCATTATAAAATATATCAATTAGTTTATACATCCTACTTAAATAATATGGTCAAATTTTTAAAAAGAAAAATGAAATTAATTATTTGTTTGAGACAATTTTCTAGTTGATTTTTAAAGGAAATTTTTTGCACAAAAATTTTAATTTTTATACTAAAAAACTGTTTTAAGAAACAGTAAAAAAGTCGTCCTAACGAAATCTAAATTAACTAATTTTTATGTTGAAGATATCAAGTTTTTTTTTTTTTT